TTTCAGGACTTATTTGTTGATCGTCTTGTTGAAAGAGTTGACAAGTTGAAGGAGGAGATTGCCATGTATGAGGCACAGATCACAGCACAGACCGAGGAAACCCTCGCTGCCCAGGAAGCCTTGACAGAGGCTCACATGGAGATTGAGGTTGTTATCCCAAACACATCACTGCTGTGGAGGATCCCAAACTTAGTGCTAACTGTTCTAGATCAACAGCATCCTGATAGATGGGAAAACTATATCACTGACAAAGGAACTTTGATTATCATGAAATTTACTATAGTTTATCTCAGGACAGCCTTGGTATCAGTATCGTTTATATCAGGACAGCTTTGGTATCAATAAAGTTTATCTCAGGACAGCTTTGGTATCAATATAGTTTATCTCAGGACAGCCTTGGTATCAGTATAGTTTATTTCAGGATAGCCTTGGTATCAATATAGTTTATCTCAGGACAGCCTTGGTATCAGAATAGTTTATCTCAGGACAGCCTTGGTATCAGAATAGTTTATCTCAGGACAGCCTTGGTATCAGGATAGTTTATCTCAGGACAGCCTTGGTATCAGTATAATTTATCTCAGGACAGCCTTGGTATCAGTATAGTTTATTTCAGGACAGCCTTGGTATCAGTATAGTTTATTTCAGGACAGCCTTGGTATCAGTATAGTTTATCTCAGGACAGCCTTGGTACCAGTATAATTTATCTCAGGACAGCCTTGGTATCAGTATAGTTTATTTCAGGATAGCCTTGGTATCAATATAGTTTATCTCAGGACAGCCTTGGTATCAGTATAATTTATCTCAGGACAGCCAATGTATCAGTATAGTTTATTTCAGGACAGCCTTGGTATCAGTATAGTTTATCTCAGGACAGCCTTGGTATCAGTAAAGTTTATCTCAGGACAGCTTTGGTATCAATATAGTTTATATCAGGACAGCCTTGGTATCAGTATAATTTATCTCAGTTCAGCCAATGTATCAGTATATTTTATCTCAGGACAGCCTTGGTATCAATATAGTTTATCTCAGGACAGCCAATGTATCAGTATAGTTTATCTCAGGACAGCCTTGGTATCAGTAAAGTTTATCTCAGGTCAGCCTTGGTATCAGTATAGTTTATCTCAGGACAGCTTTGGTATCAGTAAATTTTATCTCAGTTCAGCCAATGTATCAGTATATTTTATCTCAGAACAGCCTTGGTATCAGTATAGTTTATCTCAGGACAGCTTTTGTATCAATATATTTTATCTCAGGACAGCCTTGGTATCAGTATATTTTATCTCAGGACAGCCTTGGTATCAGTATAGTTTAGCTCAGGGCAGCCTTGGTATCAATATATTTTATCTCAGTTCAGCCAATGTATCAGTAAAGTTTATCTCAGGACAGTCAACATATCAGTTGGTTTATCTCAGGACAGCCTTGGTATCAGTATAATTTATCTCAGGACAGCCTTGGTATCAGTAAAGTTTATCTCAGGTCAGCCTTGGTATCAATATATTTTATCTCAGGACAGCCTTGGTATCAGTATAGTTTATTTCAAAATAGCCTTGGTTTCAGTATAGTTTATCTCAGGACAGCCTTGGTATCAATATATTTTATCTCAGGACAGCCTTGGTATCAGTATAGTTTATCTCAGGAAAGCCTTGGTATCAGTATAGTTTATCTTAGGACAGCCAATGTATCAGTATATTTTATCTCAGGACAGCCTTGATTTCAGTATAGTTAATCGCAGGACAGCCTTGGTATCAGTATAGTTTATCTCAGGAAAGCCTTGGTATCAGTATAGTTTATCTTAGGACAGCCAATGTATCAGTATATTTTATCTCAGGACAGCCTTGGTATCAGTATAGTTTATCTCAGGACAACCTTGGTATCAGTATAGTTTATCTCAGGACAGCCTTGGTATCAATATATTTTATCTTAGGACAGCCAATGTATCAGTATATTTTATCTCAGGTCAGCCTTGATTTCAGTATAGTTAATCGCAGGACAGCCTTGGTATCAGTATAGTTAATCTCAGGACAGCCTTGTTATCAGTATCGTTTATCTCAGGACAGCCTTGGTATCAGTATATTTTATCTCAGGACAGCCTTGGTATCAGTAAAGTTTATGTCAGGACAGCCTTGGTATCAGTAAAGTTTATCTCAGGACAGCCTTGGTATCAGTATCGTTTATCTCAGGACAGCCTTGGTATCAATATATTTTATCTCAGGACAGCCTTGGTATCAGTATAATTTATCTCAGGACAGCCAATGTATCAGTATAGTTTATCTCAGGACAGCCTTGGTATCAGTAAAGTTTATGTCAGGACAGCCTTGGTATCAGTAAAGTTTATCTCAGGACAGCCTTGGTTTCAGTATAGTTAATCGCAGGTCAGCCTTGGTATCAGTATAGTTTATCTCAGGACCGCCTTGATTTCAGTATAGTTAATCGCAGGACAGCCTTGGTATCAGTATAGTTAATCTCAGGACAGCCTTGTTATCAGTATCGTTTATCTCAGGACAGCCTTGGTATCAATATATTTTATCTCAGGACAGCCTTGGTATCAGTAAAGTTTATCTTAGGACAGCCTTGGTATCAGTAAAGTTTATCTCAGGACAGCCTTGGTATCAGTATAGTTTATCTCAAGACAGTCAATGTATCAGTATAGTTTATCTCAGAACAGCCTTGGTATTAGTATAGTTTATCTCAGGACAGCTTTGGTATCAATATATTTATCTTAGAACAGCCAATGTATCAGTATATTTTATCTCAGGACAGCCTTGATTTCAGTATAGTTAATCGCAGGACAGCCTTGGTATCAGTATAGTTAATCTCAGGACAGCCTTGGTATCAGTATCGTTTATCTCAGGTCAGCCTTGGTAACAATATATTTTATCTCAGGACAGCCTTGGTATCAGTAAAGTTTATCTCAGGACAGCCTTGGTATCAGTATAGTTAATCTCAGGACAGCCTTGTTATCAGTATCGTTTATCTCAGGACAGCCTTGGTATCAGTATATTTTATCTCAGGACAGCCTTGGTATCAGTATAATTTATCTCAGGACAGCCAATGTATCAGTATAGTTTATCTCAGGACAGCCTTGGTATCAGTATAATTTATCTCAGGACAGCCTTGGTATCAGTATAGTTTATCTCAAGACAGTCAATGTATCAGTATAGTTTATCTCAGAACAGCCTTGGTATTAGTATAGTTTATCTCAGGACAGCTTTGGTATCAGTTTTTATCTCAGGACAGCCTTGGTATCAGTTTTTATCTCAGGACAGCCTTGGTATCAGTATAGTTTATCTCAGAACTGCCTTGGTATCAGTATAGTTAATCGCAGGACATCCTTGGTATCAGTATAGTTTATCTGAAAAATGTTTTGTTATTTATATATTGTACCGGAGAGGCTGCTGCATCTTGCCCAAGCCTTAGGAACTTAGTCCCTGACATAACATAGGAACTTAGTCCCTGACATAACATAGGAACTTAGTCCCTGACATAACCTAACAATAGTGGAGAATCCTACCATGTAACACTATCGACAATTCTGAACATGTCTTGGATGAACGTACCAGCTCTGCTACCAGGATTGACTCTGGGATCTGGCCCCACCCTAGAAACTTATTTGCAATAAATTAAAGCTTTTAATGAGAATATTTGCCTTGATTTCTTAAATATACAGGTAAGCAATACAGGTCATTTGGGCCTGTTGTTGATTTTACTCTATGATGCTGACAGATATGTTGTTTACAGGCGATTGGCCTCGAGAAGAAACAGCTTTTCCAGCAGTGGAACAGTTCTCTGATCGGGATGAGGCGGAGAGATGAAGCTCACTCAGCCATGCAGGAAGCTTTAGAGTAGGAACAAATCTTATTTCCCAAATACACAGTTTTCTGGTCACTGACAGTTGAAGGAATGTACTGAAATGTTGAACACGAAAACCTCTGGTCTAACCCTGTAAAACCAGAGGTTTTGTCTAAGCCCAGTGAGACCAGAGGTTTTGTCTAAGCCCGGTGAGACCAAAGGTTTTGTCTAAGCCCGGTGAGACCAGAGGTTTTGTATGATTTTACTTCATACATATACAATGCTTGTGAGAAAAAAAAAATGCAATACATTAAAAATGACAAGTGAATCAGTTTTCACAAAACAATTTGGTAGGAAGGAATAAATAGAAAATCTAAACAGTCATGAATATGAAAACTCATAAGTTCTTACTTTTCATTTTTACAATTTTCCTGGAATACATTCATGTTATTCTTATTTTCTTGGAATACATCCATGGTTTTGTTTTACTTTTAGACAACAGCAGCAGAAAGTGTTATCACTTGAGACTGAAATTGAAGGATATAAGAAATCAATTTTCAAGGAACAAGAACAAAATGAAAAACTGACTCTGATATTAAACAAGACAGAGCGGGACATTGAGACAGTGAGAAAGCTGCTCAGTCAGTCACAAGCAAAACATGACGCACTGAAGGCAGAATACGCCACCTATACACGGATGCTGCACGAGACTGAGCAGGCTCTCAACCGCGCGGTCACGGTAGGCAACACTTTACTGATAAACTGCTGGTAAACTTGTAATACACTGGGCCTGCTGGTAAACTTGTAATACACTGGGCCTGCTGGTAAACTTGTAA